AGAGATAAGTATTGATTTGGGTGAAGAGAAAGGCAATGTACCAAATGTGAGTAATCAATATGGTAGCACTGAGGAAGAGAAAGACATAGAGAGGTACAGAAAACAAAGCTGAATCCTTTTGAACATGCTGTACTACGTTGTCAGTGAAGGCAAACATGGGTATACAGGTGGCTAGCTGGGTGGACAGGCTGAACTAGTAGGTATGTCTATGAAGGGGGGAGTATACCCAAAAACATATAGAGTTGGCAGACAATGGTCCTATAAGTTTGGTGGTAGTCACTGCTTGGTCAGAGCCAGCTGCCCAGAGGGACTGAGTAGTTGAACCTGTGGGCTTGGGACCATAGTCGCAGGGGACATCAAGCTTAATTGGCATAACGTACTACACAAAACACTGTTCCTCCTCCTACTTTGGCGAGTAGCGACTGGGATCTTAAAAGCTTGCAAGGTGTCATCTAGATGCAACGATGGGTCTCTCCCCATCCAGAGCAAATATGAAACAATCAGTCTTAGCGACTGGTACACCATCTGATCTGCTGCCTATATGACTATAAGACCACAAGAACTAGATGGTGCTCCTGGCTACCAATGTCAACCACTTAGAAGGGAATCTATGTAGGAGATCCTGGATAGAGAAGGAGAACAATGTGGAACAAAACTCAAAATCATTGGAGGAAAAAAAAAAATGAGGGGGGGGGGACACCAGGTTTGCTGGTCTGATAGAGCCTGGTAGAACCACGGAGACTATGTCCTTCTAGCTGCCCATCAGGTCTGGAACTGAACCCACATCTGTGGCTTCCAGCCAAGCAAAAGACAGGCATATGAGCTGAACATTTACCTGAGGTAGATAACACTCCTTGGAGAGAACAATCATGGGAGAAAGAAGGGCTGCTTATGCACCAGGAGACAGCTCAGGGGGCAGGAGTGTATGGAGGGATGGACACAGGGAAGAGGTAACTATCGGGAGGAAGTGGGAGGAGAGTTGTTACATTGTGGTAAATCGTGGTCAATGTCAGGACACAAAGTGTATGTGAACTGCTACTGTATGGAAAGTCAATTTGCTCTGTAAATTTTCACCCAAATCACTAAAAAAAAAAAAAAAAAAAAGATGATGTTTGTAAGTATGCTTCAAGCTCTTCTTTTTTAAAAATCAGTTATTGAGATTAATTTTAAGAAAAACGAAATAGAAGACATTATTACCTAATAAAAAATTATGCTCATTTAATAATTTGTGTGCATCAAGATGAATCTCTCCTTGTCCAAAGCAAAGAAAAATGAAGAAAACCAGAGATTCATGAAAAAAACTAGTCCAAGTGACTGGTACACCATGTGATCCTCAGACTATATGACTAGAAACCAGAACTAGATGGTGCCCGGATACCACTGGCAACCAACTGGAGGGGGATCTATGTAAGAGATCCTAGATAGAGTGGGAGAACAATGTGGAACAAAACTCAAAATCATTTGGAAAAAAAAAAAAAGAAAAAGGGACCAGGTTTGCTGGTCTGACAGAGCCTTATGGAACCACTGAGACTATGGCCCCTACCTGCCCTTCAGGTCTGGAATTGAACCTACACCAGTGCCTTCCAGCCAAACAAAAGACAGGCATATGAGGTGAACATTTACACTAGCTAGATCGACTCCTTGGAGAGAACAATCTTGGAGAATAAAAGTGCTATGTATGCACAGGAACAAAAGCTCAGGGGGCAGGAGTGCATGGAGGGAAGGACACAGGGAAGACGTAACTACAGGAAGGAAGTGGGAGGGGAGATGTTGCATTGTGGTAAATTGTAGTCAATGTCATGAGACAAAGTGTATGTGAACTGATGTATGAGAAGTGAATTTGTTCTGTAAACTTTCATCCAAATAACAATTAAAAAATATTAATAATAATAAAAAATTTCAATGGAAAACAAAATTGTCTGCATCCATCCATATCATCTTACTCCTGTAATTATGCTTTGTTGTTGTTGTTATGTGCTGTCAAGTCGGACCTGACTCACAGTGACCCCTCCTTGGGTTTCCCAGGCAGTATCACTACGGAAGTAGATTGCCCAACCTTCCTTCTGAGGAGTGGTTGGTGGGTTTGAACCACCAGCCTTCTGGTTAGCAGTCAAGTGCCTTAGGCACTATGCTACCAGAGCTCCCCATTATACTTTATAATTACCAACATATGCCAAAAACAATCTCATTTCAGTTTCATGATAGCCCAGGTATCTTAATTTTCATTTTACAAATGAAAAAGAGAAGCTCAAGGCCACACATCTCGGAAATGAAGAACACAGATTCAAACTCAGGGCTCAGCCACAAGTTCTAGGTTCTCTCCACACATTACCTATTTATTTTAACTGATATAACTACAACAGTAAAACACCTTGTAGTTTCAAGGTATTTTCATGTACATTATCTTATTACATTCATATGTATGTGTGAGTATGGGTATATGGATAAAACATGTATGGCATTTGTTCTTTCATGTTAATCAGAAAACACAAATACTAGAAACCTTTACCATTGACATGTTATAGGACTCTCTTCAATGATGGGAACTAAATCTTTCACTTTATTTCATATTTATTAATGTAAGCAGCCACATATGGTTACTTGCTACCATACAACACAGCTCTAAATCCTTTCCTTCTAATTAAGTTTCTTCTCTAAATATCCCAACATTTATCTTTGTCTCAGGAATCCTAGTGAAGCCAGACCCTTGTTTCAGAACAGTTTCTTTCAATTTATTTATATTCTTTTTAGTTTCATGACAATCATATCTCCATTTATAATTCTACAAGAACAAGAGAAAAAGAATTCTACTATCAAGTACAAATAGTTACAAGGAAGTCCATTTGAAAGTCTATTTGGTTCGGTTTTAAAGAGAGGACAATGAATTGTGCACACAGGAGATAGACGACAGATGCTAATACCAACCAATGTGCCCACAATACTGCATTACTATTAACAGCAAACACAAGACTACAAGATAAATACATAAACACTTGAGAGGATTAAATGGGGGTCAGTGAACAGGAGTATACTCTAGATAGATTCAGCGCAGACTAATCCTGCAGATACCAGTGATACAAAATACGTGTAATCCTTACAGAAACAACAGAAGACAGACCAATCCCTCACAGACACCCAAACACTGTGGGAGAGAGAACCAACCTATCTACTGTCTTAGGACCATAATACTGGGGGACACCAGACTCAATTGGCACAACAAAATACATAAAAGCCTTGCTTCTCATCCTACATTGATGAATAGCAACTGGGGTCTTAAAAGCTTTCAAGCAGCCATCTAAGATGCAGCCAACAGTCTCCTAGTGTTGGAAGCAAAGAAGAGTGCAAAAAAGAAGGGCATTTGGAAGCAATCAGCCCTAGGACACGATGGCCCTTGAGAACTAGATGGTGCCCGGCTACCAATGCCAACCACTCAGGAAAGGATCAAATCTGGAGATCCTGGATAGAGTGGGAAGAAAAACGTGGAACAAAATCCAAAAACTCAATAATGGCCAGAATTATTAGTCAGATGGAGTCTGCTGAGACCCCCAATACTATAGCCCTGGAATACAACTCACTCCCAGGGGCTGGCTCTGAGCCCAATAGTTAACAAGATGTACATGCAGACCACTCAACCCAGGGTGACGCACCCACACTCACTATGGAAATATATCCCTTGGAGCAATAGACCACAGGGCACCAGAGAGGCAACATTCACATGGAGGAAATGCAGGACACACAGGAGTTTATAACTATGAGGGGCACACGGGGAGGATTACTAGGCAGGGAGGGGAGGAGACTGAGGGCTGGGCATGGTAAATGGGGAGTGAAACTAAATGTACACATAACGTTGAATGTAAAACAAACTCTTAACATAAAAAAAAATAATAAACAAAAAAGCAGCTTTAACTTGTTTGAACAGCATTATGATAAACTAAGAAAGACTGAAGTTGTCAAGGATTTCATTTTACTTGGATCCACAACAACCAACCATGAAACTAGTATTCAAGAAATCAAACGACATGTTGCACTGGGCAAATGTGCTGCAAAAGACCTCTTTAAAAAAGCAAAGCTATCACCTTGGGGACCAAGATGAGCCTGATCCAAGGTATTTTATTTTTAATTTCTTCATATGCATGTGAAAGCTGATGAATGGACACACTGGCTGCAACAATGAGCTCAAACATATCAACAACTGTGAGGATGAAAGAACAAACAAACAACAAAGAGGAAAAAAAAAAAATCATGAGGATGATGGAGGACCTTGCAGTGTTTCATTCTGTTGTACAGGGCGTTGCTATGAGTTAGAAGTGACTAGACAGCACCTAACAACTACTACTCACATGAGGGAATTCTAAGCAATGTTGCTTCGGATCATTGGTAATTGTAGGGAATATATTTCAGTATACTCTGTTCTCTCACCTTTCTCTATTTTCTTTCCAAGTTAGTAAATACGGACAATCTTACAGACTGCAGTAAGATAAGTATTCAGACAAATACAAACTACAGTCACAATTGAGATGGCTATTTTTTTTTTTTTTTAAAAAAAAAGGTTAAAAAAATTGGTATAAACATAAAAAAATTTTAAAACTGAATAAAGCAATAATAAGAAATGACTAGTCAGAACAAGTAAAATGCAACTATTATTATATGACTTTAGTTCACTGAAGAGCTCAATGTTATTTATTTATTTTAATATACCAAAAAAACCCTACAGCCAGAAATGTTCAATTTTAAACAACAACAAAAGTGTAAAATCTCTCTTACAAAACAGCGAGGACCCCTAAGGAGTGTTCTTGTACATCCAAAGCTCCAAGCACAGTGTCCAGGTGGGATAAGTTTTTTGCAAGGAGTTCCCCACTCTTGTTGATCAGTTCACAAAGCTGAGTCATTTGCCCTGGAAAGCATAAACAGCACCAACACTAAGTTAGTTATAGCATTAATCAAACTAAAGGAGATACAGCCACTGCCTTTTGGCATAGTGTCCAAGACATTTGACTGCTAGCCAGAAGGCGGAGGTTCAAACCCACAAGCCAATCCTCGGAAGCAAGACTGTGTAATCTTCCATAGAGATACCACCTCAGAAAGGATTGGTCAGTATCGGTCAGATTCGACTTGACGGCAGTGAGTTTGGGTTTTAGTTTTTACTACCAATAAAACAGACGGTGGAATATGGGAGTATATACAGTGTGGCCACGGAATCTATCATCAGAATAACCATCAAAATAGGTAAATCCACTCAAAGTAATAATTCAGGCCTAATTAGATTCTGTACCTTAGTTAAAAACATAGCAATGTAGTATAGTGGTGGTGAATAATAATGCCATTGGCATTATTCTCTTAAGTTTCCTCCTTCAATATTTCTCTTTTACATTTTTAACTTCAGGATACCAGTATTGGCAATTTCTATTTAGCAGCTGTATTATGTTTCCTTTTTCAATAGAATACTTACATAGTATAACTCTTTAAATCCAAGTGATTTTTACCTCAGCATGTTGATAATTTTAATTTCTGGGGTATCAATACTATAACACTTCTAAAATCTGATCAGATGTGCCAAAAAATAATGGAAACATCTCATTATTACATGAACTGCAAAACAAGAATAAACATATACCCATGATCTTACTAGGTAACAACTTTTGGGATAAAAACACAGATTGAACAGAGAAGTATCAAGTCACCATCATTTTATTTTACATCTCACTGGTAGGTATAAAATAGCTTCTTCCAGTTGAATTACTCTTGCTCCTTTTACTTTAAATACATTTACAAGGATTATAAAGATATGACACACCTACAAGTAAGCACGTCAGTCTATTATTTTCCCTTCAATTAAATAACCATGCTAAGTTGAGACAAATAAAAGCTTGGTCACTAGAAAATCATAAGGGGACACTGAAAGGAGCACAACCAGAGATGTGGCCTGTGAAATTCCCTCTAATTAGAGAAAGTTGGTAATTATACTATCTCCATTACTTAAGGTTCATGTTAGAAAATTCTGAATGAGAACTGAGAAAATAGCAATTTATCATTTAATCTGCAGTGAGCATGAGGGACAGAAACTGAGGGCAGTTAACTGTATTATATTCACCTATGCCTGACAGACTGCCCCTAAAAGTGTCTTACAGAGAATGTAGCCAAAACTTTCAGATAAGGAATCCCAGGTGATATGCACAAAGCTTTAGTTACAATTTTGTAAAAGAGGAAATTGTCCCAGGGCAATTAAATGGCTGGCACTTTAAATGACTGAGATTCTACCTGGAATGTTCTTACCACCGGACATCTCAGGAAGTAGAAACTGTGTGGAATAAATGAATGAATGGCTCCCTCCCACAAAAGAATGCAAGTCTAAGTGGCCATCTGGATGCGACAATGGGTCTCTTCTGGTCCAGGGCAAAGAAGGATGAAGAAAACCAAAGATTCATGGAAACAATTAGTCCAAGCGACTGGTACACCATATGATCCTCACCCTATACAACTGAGACTTGAAGAACTAGATGGTGCCCAGCTATGAGTGTCAACCGCTCAGAGGGGGATACGTAGGAGATCCAGGAGTGGGAGACCAATGTGGAACAAAACTCAAAATTATTTTTTTTTTTAAAAAAGAGGGGACCATGTTTGCTGGTCTGATAGAACCTGATGGAGTCACTGAGACTATGGCCCCTAACTGCCCTTCAGGTCTGGAATTGAACCCACACCTGTGGCTTCCAGCCAAACAAAAGACAGGCATATGAGTTGAACATTTACCTAAGGTAGATAC